TTGGGTTTCGGTTGCTGGTCGAGAGTTTAAGGCAGTTAGTTCCTGACTCGAGACAACTCAGAGGGTTTAAGGCAGTTAGTCCTGATCCAACGAGTATAAACTCTCCGGGCATCGTATTGGCGCTTCTCTATTGCTGAGTTTCGTCGATAGTACGCTTTGGGGCACGACAAATCAACGTTTTTCGCAAGAAACTCGTATCTACCCTACAACCTTACACATCTGTGCCAAGGCTCTGTTCACAGGGGCCTGTACTTGCACAAGGAGTTGACGATTTTTGGGTGTTGTGACTTTTCCTACTTGACATTATACATCTTTCTCTCTATGAAAAGTGGAGTTTTGGTTGTTTTTGTTGGTTTGGTTAGTTAGAGAGCACATTTGCTGTCCCCACTCCGCACTCATCACCGGGTTCCCCATTCATCTAACGACGACGGATCAGCACCATTCGAGAGCTGGTTCAAACACAAACCCGATTTATCCCATCTTCGACCCTTCGGCGTGCTAGTAACCGCAAGGAAGACCAACTCTACAGAGCAAATGAAGTTCAATGCGCCGGGGCGAAGAAGGCCGCTTTGTGGGGTATGCAAGAGATGCAAGAGGCTACCTGATCTGGCTACCAAAATCGAAAGCCATCCGGCCACGACGCGACGTAGAATTTCACAGCTTCCCAGAATTCATTCCCTCTCCCTCCAACTCCGAACTCTTATGGGAAGACGTGCCTTCCGAGTTGGAGGAACACTTCCGCGACCGTGATACAATGAATCGACCGTCACCACCAACGAGCAAACCCGCATCAGTGCAAGACACTAGCACGGCAGAAGCGAGTACGGAAGCGAGCGTGGAAGCGAGCGCAAGTGGAGAAACTGCCACAGAGCCTATATCAGCCCCAGGGCTTAACGTGTATGTCCTATCGTTAACGATAGAGACGATGTTTACCTGTTTAACCAGGCCTTCCTCGGAAGATACACCTATGATTCCTATAAGGAGCGAAACTCCAGAGTGCGTATCAAATCGCGAAATATACTTTATCCTAATTATTGGTTCAGGCCCGTACGACGCGTCCTAGACGATGTTATGGAGCATATCCAGAGCCAGCCACGTGCTAATGCGTGCGTCATATTATCTATGGGCCATTATAAACCTAATAGCTATTGTTTAGTCCTGCGCAAGAGGACGTTGAAATGCCCGACATCATTGATGATACACCACTAGCCCAACGTCGAGCTCCGGCGCATTCGCCACGTTCCTGCTCGCCATATAATCAATCACGCGACATTGGACGAGGGGGGGATGAACAACTGTGTCCTCTCTGAAGACTATCTACTATCCGTCCTGCTGTCGGGCGACGAACTTGAAATCGAATGTGAACCAGAAGACTTGGTCGAGCTTGCCCAAATCCTCGAACAAACAGAGACAGCCTATTCACTCAAGACTGAACCAATCAACAACCCTGACGCAAAAGACCCAAATTCGGTCAACGAGGTGAAACGATTGATCTACTGGCCACAATGGCTAATCGCCATATTCGAGGAGCTCGAATCACTCAGAGCGAAAGGCGTGTATATTGAGGTTGACGAAATACCCTCAGGACGGAAAGCAGTTGTGTGTAAATGGGTTCTACACATCAAGAGGGATCGAGACGGTCTGATATCTCGATTCAAAGCTCGACTGGTGGCGAAAGGCTTTACCCAAATACCGGGACAAGACTACACCTACACATTCGCTCCTGTAGCTCGATGGGAGTCTATTCGTTTCGTCCTCACACTCGTGGCAGCACACGATATGGTGTTACGACAAGTGGATGTCAAAACCGCCTTCCTCAACGGCCCGCTCGATGAAGAGATATACATGAAGAAACCGGAAATCGCTGGCCCTGGCTATTGGCGTTTGCTTAAAGGACTTTACGGTCTCAAACAAGCTGGCCGACAATGGTATCTGGAGCTCAACTCACGTCTCGAACTCATCGGATTCAAATGAGTTGAATCTGACTGAGCGTCTATATTCGAAGAAGCCACAACGAACTCACGATCATCACAACGAGTGTCGACGATATATTAATCGCTTCAACCACACAGTCTGAATCCGACTCCGTCGTTGCCGCCCCTAGCTGGCCAATTCGAGATAACAGACAATGGTGAACCACAACTCCATCTGGGTTGTTCTGTTGAGCGAGATCACAAGAACCTGACAATCCGACTCCACCAAAAGTCATTTACCGAGTCGATCTTGCGGGACTTTGGTTTCGACAAGAGTAATTCAGTCCAAACGCCTATGGACCCAAGCACCCAGTTGATGCCCGCATCCGAAGAAGAGATGGCTAAGGCTAAAGACTTCCTATACGCTGCCGTTGTGGGAAGGTGCATGTACCTTTCAACATGCACACGTCCCGACATCTCCTATGCCGTCCGTGAACTGGCTCGCTTCATGGCAAAATACGGACCTTCCCATGTCACCGCCGCAAAGCATCTCCTCCGCTACCTGCGGGGAACCGTCACTCACGGGATCCTTCTCGGCGGAAAAGAGGCTCGACAACCAGCCATTAAGGCTATGAGCGACTCCGACTGGGGCATGGGAGATGATCGAAAGTCAGTGTCTGGATTCGTCATCTTTATGGGCAATTCTCCAATCTCCTGGAGCTCAAAGCAACAAGCTGTGGTTGCACTATCGTCGTGCGAAGCGGAGTATCTTGCCACAACCCACTGTGCGAAAGACATACTGTGGTTCCGAAACTTACTGTCCGAACTCGGCTTCCCTCAAGACTTACCAACGTCACTGTTCTGTGATAACCAGGGCACGGTAGCGTGTACTCACGATCCACACGCCCACTCGAAGATGAAACACATCTCCATTCGGGAACACTTCATTCGGGACTGCGTTCTCAACCGACTTATCGATGTCATGCACGTGGCAGGGAACACCAACATCGCCGACCTATTCACCAAACCGCTGCATCGCATACTGCACACTCGCTGGGTCAAATTGTTAGGGTTGGACGCGCGTCAAGGGGGGGTGTCGGAGGCTGACACGCTCAACCCTCCGCGATAATCTTATCCGTGACTAATCACAATACCTACATCTGGAACCTGGGCAGAGAGAGTAGCCCCTTACTGCTTCTCTCTCCGACCCAGGTATGTCCCCCTTTTACCTACATATGGATGTACACTACTGCTTCTCTCTCCGACCCAGAATACTATTTATTGACAGTTGATATTCAAGAAGAGGATATATTGAGAAGCTACTATACATACCTGCTGATTGTATCTGCACTTCTCTGAAATCGCTCTTGAAGCATGCAGTTACTACTCCCAGTTCAGGCCAGGTGGAGGAATATAGCCAGTTCTTCATCTGCAGAAACATGGTTGGAGCTTCGGAGACCATGGTACTGTTGCAGCTTAAAAGAGAGTCGGAAAAATCCAGCTTTTGCCATGCCTAGATTGTTCTTGAACCGTTGGTCATGGCCAGCTGTCAGGTCTCTGAGCCATTTTTGTCTAGTATAGTCAGAATCATTCATGGGAATAGGCTCCGCAAGGTCAAGACGCATAAATGACACTATGTGACAGTGAACACTGAAGATACTGTAGTAATTTATTCAATTCGGCATGCCAAAAGGGTGTGACATCGGTGCCGAAATCAAATTTTCGGCGCCTCCTGTCAATGTGCGTGACTGCCAAAATATTTCGGCCTATTTAGCAGCCCGGAGGGCCGCTAAAATTTTTTTGATAGTCTGATGGGTGTTTGACGTTCGGCATCCAGGCTGTGGGCATGTGACACGCCGAAATATTTCGGCGTTGGAGGGCCCGTGTGACACGTGACCGCCGAATTGAATAAATTACTACAGTAGTGCATACTTAGTAGAAATAGCTACTGCTGCCGGGCTAAATCCTGTTCTTTCTTGGCTCTATAGCAGGCATCAGATGCAGCAGTAGTCGCAGAAGCTTTCGTTGGACGTGTTCTGTCTGTCATTGATGCGACAGAGAGCCAGCAGTTAGTGGAAATCAATGCAGAGTGGGTTTGACAAGTTTGTGGCACATGTGACTAGACATGTTTTATGGTAAAATTATATTACGGGGCTATTACAGGCTGTAACATATTAAGTAATGTTTGGTGGTCCAGTTGACATGAGAGAACGGGAAGTGCTCAGCCGGGCCAGGTCTTGATGGCTTGCTACCCATTGCGACCGAACAGGCCCTTAACCTTTACCGTGACAAAAAGTGCTAAATCAGCTAAAAGTAGCTGAGAAAAGCCAAAATTGTATCTAAAGAGCCCTTTTTCGGGCTCTGATAGCCATTGTGTGCTGTCCAGATTTTTTCTCAAATGTAGTCTGGTTGTCATCTAACTCAATACAAATTGCTGAGTGACAATGCTGACCCAGCTGAGGAAATTTTGTCTGGACTTGGTTCTGACCTGCTTAAGGGTAAAATTCTTTTGTCTGGACTTCAGATCTAACACTTTCGGCTTCAGCCCGATATTTGTCCGGATTCTGGTCACACCTTGGTCGAAATTTTCAAAAATTTGTCTGGATTTTGGTATTCTACCTCCTTGCGTCACTGATGCTGATGCTCATGTGACTAGCGCGTCACAACTCTCTTCCCCCGACTTTGGGGTTTACAGTAAGCCTTGACGCCTATTCAAACCTCGACTTCCCATCGCCATGCTCTCGCTCTCCCGATAGGGCAGTCAATTCACCTGGGCCACGGATGACTCGGACTGCGAGCGGCTTCAAGATGCAAGTGGATTAATTTTGGAGAGTAAGAGATGCCTATCAATATCGATTGCGGCATTCAGGCAAGAATTATGGGCTGATCGCGACGGTGTGGGTTGGTTGCCGGAGTGCGATTTAACTTCGTGACCCTGGATTCCTTACAAGTTGTAGGCGCCGCTCTAAAAATTTCCCTCCAGCAGAAGCTGCACGCAGCACACAAACTTGAAGCAAAGCCACTGACGTCCCGGGCCCAAGGCTGTGAGTGCTGCCCTGGGACCCTCGCTCACCAAATACTCACTTCATGGAATCAGCGTCGCATATGCCCACATTCCCAGCACCACATCTTCCCGACGAAATCATTTCCGAGATCCTCGCACCTGCCCTTGACGTCGACGACGACCTTTTCACCCAGTCCTTGGGCACCGGCCGCCACTCGCCATTTGTGCGTTTCTCAGAGTCCCCCTCTGCCTATCTCGTCGTCTGCAAGGCCTGGCTGCGGGTGGCGACGCCGCTGCTCTACAACGTCGTCATCATTCGGTCCAAGGGACAGGCCCAGGCGCTCGCGGCCGTGCTCAGCAACAACCCGCTGTTGGGGTCGTTTATCCGCAAGCTGCGTGTCGAGGGCGGCTATGGCGCGTCGATGTATAAGGTGCTGACCAATGCACCGAACATCACCGACCTTTTTCTCGCGTTCAACATGTACAGCGCGGACAAGACGGACGGGCTGTGCAGGGGACTGGAGCGCGTCAACCCGCGGAGAGTCATCCTGGATACGGGGGAGTACAGATCCAACAACGCCACGCTGGAGCTGGGGGACGCTTTGGTAGCCGCTATACCGAAGTGGGACCGTTTCGTGCGTTATTATTTCCTGCTTCGCCAAGGCGCTCACCTGCGCCATAATATCTTGCAGGTCTGTCTCGACATCGCCGCCGCCCACACCAGCCTCCCATTCATACCATGCGCCATTGCCGCCAGCAGAACGCTAACGCACATCGTCGTCGGGAGCTGCTACGAAGCTACATCTGTCTATACTCACTCTACGCAGTGCCCATTGCGCATACTCGAAATCAAATCCAAGAGATTCGAATGGAGCATGTTTACCCTTTCGTACCTGCATGATCTCGAGGAAAAGTTCAAGACAGGCGGACGTGCAATAGAACTGAGGCGGCCGGCTGACATCAACGAGACGCCTCGCCCATCCGTCTCGTCGACCAGGAATATCGACATCATGGTTGTGCGAAAAAAACCGGATCCCTGTTACCGGCCCATGGCGGATGTGGCATTTGATGTCCAGAAGCGCATCTGGTCCAGCATTTTCTATTTTGCTCTATCCGACAGTGGCTGGCCCCCGGCGTGGCGCGCCCGCAACCGTCAACCGCACAACTTGCTTCTTGTGTCAAAGCTGTTTCTGGTCAGTGGTAATGTCTGTTTGATTCGGAGGAAACTGGCCATTGATTGTATTACTTATACTAGGCCGCTGGATCCAGGTGGGTCTATCAGAACGTCGTGCTACGATCCTTTCGGGACTGGCCGCTACTCGCAAGGACCCTCGATTCAAACCTAGCATATGCACGATATATTCACTCGGTGTCGCTGACCAATCCGAGCATATGTGTGGCCGACCAAGACCACAATGCCTTTCTCGATGCGCTCCTGCGAATTGTGTGCGTTATTGGCCAATGTCAGTTACATTTGGCGCTAATTGTCCTCCCTAGGCTTCCCTCTCTGCGTCACCTCAAATTTCACTGTGCAATCGCATCCTATTGTCATTGGCTTTTCCTCATCCATGGGCATCACCTCATAACGCTGCGCGTCTCCGTCAACACCCTCCGTGCGATGCGAAACGATCCCGGTCGTGTGGCCGGATCAGAGGTGTCGAGTCCGGCGGCCTCTGTGTTTGACCTATGCCCTAATCTCACACACATGACCCTGGTAAGTCTCGTCCGAGTGGGGTATTGTTGGCTCTCAAACTAGTTGCCATCTTCTACTTCCAGGACAGCAGCGACAAATACTCAAGCTCAGTCGCCACCATCGACCTGCTCGCCACGCAAAACGCGCACCGCGCGCTGCATACGCTCACATTCTGTATCTTTTACTCGGCGAACCGGTGCGTCCAGGCATTTCCTCCCATCTCACCGGGCTCATATCAAATAATATCCTGGTACAGCGACCACGGTCGGGAATGGGCGCCGTTCTTTGCGGAGCTTGCGGCGCGCGTTATTCCGCGCTGCCTCCCCACGCTGCGGGACGTCGTCCTCGACGCGCACTTCGAGTGGCCGACTGCCGAGTGAGTTTGCCAGTGGTTGCGCTTTCTGCCAGTGAAGCCGATTTCCCTGACCGCTTTGCAGACGGGACATCGGCAGGAACCCCTGGGTGGGCATCGCGGACGACTTGATTGCTGCCGGGGTGCGGGTCAAGAACCGGAACGGGACGCGCTGGCGCTCGCGGCTGAAGACGGCCGGCGGGCGGAGGACGGCCCGGGCGAGCACGCAGAGCAAAGGTAGCGCGTCCCCGACTCAGACGAGACGCCTGCGACTCGGAACGCGGGCGGCCGGGGCGATTGAGGGTTAGGAGGAGTCTGGTCCGCTTTGAAGTGTCTTGCTTTCGTTTTTCGAGTTGTTTGCATGTCTGTTTTAGCGAGTACTAAGGAATTGAATGTTTGATGATAAGTAGCAAGAGGGAAAAAAAACCTGCCAAGTTGTGTATTCTTAGTTTTGTATGCATGTTAGTTGTAAAATGTCATTACATATATATCACAACCTATCAAAGAACCAACAAAAAACACTCAATTGAGCAGTGCTCTGATCTGAGGGTCGAATCTTGTCTCTTGCACTCTTCATAGATTGTAATCTTGCACTAAGGTAATCTAGTAGCTGATACATTACAAACCCAATATTTTGTTTATCGCTCTCTCTGAAGTACGAGCCTCTCTCTAGGAATACACTTATCCGTCAGAGCGAAACCACATCCTCTACCAAACATCTGTTCGGGATTGTTAGTCCCCATGAGGGTCAGGATTAGAACGAGTCGGGGCTATAGCTACAAATTGTCTACTACTTATACACAATCTAGTGCGTGGGGATGTTATCGCATCTGTAATGTAATCTTTGTCTATCGGTTTGTGTCAATATCGTCATCGTCAGTCCTCAGCGTCCGCTTCAGCTCCGCCGACCCCGCCTCCGGATCAGGCAGATGGTTCTCTTGGATAAGCAGCGTCTGGTTGTCGCCTGACACCCGGATTTTTACTCGGTCACCCTCCCTGAAAGTACCTGTCAGCCGATGAAGGAAGATAGGTTGTTCGACATTACCGAATGGTCCCCCGCAACAGCTTTTGCGCCAGCGGAAACAGCACCTCCGTCCTGACCACCCGCGCAATTGCCCGCGCGCCATACAGGTTCGAGTAGCCATGCTTCGCAAGCCACTCCCGCGCCCCGTCGTCTACATCAAGCGTGATATGTCGGTCCTGCAGCCGGTTGGCCACATCTTTCAGCCGTAGCCCCACAATTTTCAAAACAGATTCTCGCGAAAGCTTGTTGAACACAAGCATCGTGTCGAGGCGATTGAGCAGCTCGGGCGGGAAGTACTCCGAAGTTACATCGAGCACTTGTTGCTTGGCTTCGGTCGTTACAACGCCGTCGACATCGCATGCGCTGGGATCAGCAAGGATGTTACTGCCTGAGGGCGATTTAGTGGAAAGTATACCGAACAAGAATACTGCTTTACCGAGGTTACTTGTAAGACAGATGATGGTATTCTTGAAGTCGACCTTTCGACCTTGGCTGTCGGTGATACTACCCTCATCAAGTATTTGCAGCAATATCATGGCAACGTCCTGTTAGACATATTGGAATCGTCCAAAATGAAAAATGAAAAATTATCAGATGTACCTTGTGGGCCTTCTCCAGCTCATCGAGAAGCACAACAGCTATGGAGATTCGTCAGTTACATATAGTTGAGAAAAGCAGCGAACAAAACTTACCGTATGGTTTACGCCGGACAGCCTCAGTTAATTGACCTTACAAAAACTTCAGTCAAATCTCGCGGCAGTAAGCAAAAGGGGTGCCAACCTCCTTCTTCGAATCCGACATAACCCGGGGCAGCACCAATAAGTCTTGATATCGTATGTCGATCGTGATACTATGAGTAGAAATTGTATCAGAGTTAAGCGCGATGAAAAGCGAAAGTTAGACCTCAGACATATTGATATTGATTCTAAAGCTAGCTCAGCACAGGTACCATTCAACGCAAAAAGGGACTCACAGACCACGCTGTTCGTCGTTGTACAGGAATCCCGCGAGGGTTTTGCAAAGTTCCGTCTAGACATCATTAGTTTTCGGCAGAAGCAACGACACGGCCACCAACACACCTTTCCGACACCGGTTGGGCCCAAGAGCAAGAATGATGCAACCGGTCTATTTGGCGCTTGTAAGCCCGCACGCGATATCCTGACGGCGTCGCTGATGGCGGAAACCGCGTCGTCTTGACCGACCACTCTCCACTTAATCGTGTCCTCCATCTGCAAATGATTCATGAGACTCGAAAGGAAGAGGAAGAAAAGGAAAGAGCAAACATTGACAAGCTTCTCCCTCTCCCCTTTGAGAAGGTTGTGAACGGGTATTCCAGTTGCCCGAGCAACAACACGCGCAATAGCACTAGATGTAACTCGCTCTTGTAGCATAGAAAGCGGTGAGTCTGCATCTTCCCTCGCAGCCTTCTCTGCCGCTTCGACCGTTTCATCGGGCAATTGACGCGTCAAGTCTGGGATGGTGGAAAATCGAAGTCGACTAGCGGTTTCAAAGTCTCCAGCTCGTTGTGCTACATCGAGCTGGTGCTTGGCCGCCTCAATTTGCTGCTTCAGATCCTTGGTCCGAGTGAGACGAGCTCTCTCTGTCGCATAACAATGAAACAAGGGTTTGACAAAGAAAGGCACGACACACCTGTCTGCCAAGTTTCCGTCAGATTGTTTGCAGCTTTGCGCTTCTCTTCAATTTCGGCCTCCACAGCTCGTCTCCTCTCCGCGCTAAAAGTGTCGGTTTCCTTCTTCAAGCTTTCCCTCTCTATCTCCAGGGTCATGATATCCCGCTCCAGCGCCTCGAGCTGGTCCGGCTTGCTCTCCTGCGCCAGACGAAGTGACGATGCTGCCTCGTCTACGAGGTCAATAGCCTTGTCGGGGAGGAAACGGTCGGATATGTATCGTGCTGAGTAGAGAGCTGCTGTCACTAATGCGCTGTCGGAAATTTCGACCCCGTGGTGAACCTCGTAGCGTGGCTTCAGCCCGCGTAGGATGGATATAGTTGACTCCACAGTAGGCTCTGGTACAAGAAGTTAGTAACTGAGATAGGAGAAAAAACGGGAAGAAACGCACCCTCGATAGTGACGGGTTGAAAACGGCGCTCCAAAGCCGCATCTTTGCCTATAGTCTTTCGATATTCGTCTGGCGTTGTAGCTCCAACGAGCTGAAGCCCCCTCGCTAACGCAGGCTTGATCATCTGACCTCCGTCAATGCTGCCCTCCGTTTTACCAAGATTAAAAAGCGTGTCTGCGGTTTTTCAGCATCCGAAATCCAGTGCAGCATGTGGAAAAGACTCACGAACTTCGTCAATGAAGCAAATAACATTCCCTGCCTCGGCCTCAATGTCGGAAATCAAGTTGCGAAACTTTTCTTCGAACTGCCCCCGGATCCCAGACCCCGCCATAATACCGGCGAGATCAATCGAGAGGACGCGTTTGTTATGTAGCGACTCGGGGACTTCTTTGCTGACGATGCGGCTGGCCAGACCTTCAAGAATGGCAGTCTTGCCAACACCAGGCGGCCCAATGAGCTAAGAAGGGTGAGGTAGGATTGAGGGTGGAGAGCGAATGCATACAACTGGATTGGATTTGGTCCTCCGGGAGAGAACTAGACCAGTAAGCCCAATCGTATGGTGCGGTCAGGCCAGAAACTCACTCTGGATCGTTCTTCGGATTTCTAGGAGCATTCAGACACTTGTTCGACTCCAGGAGCCTTTATCAACGCACCTTCGTCACGGCCAATAGTAGGGTCAAGTTTCCCATTCCGCGCCATATCCGTCAAGTCGACGCTCTGGCGAACAGATGAGTTGGTGTGGTTATACGAAGAGACACAAGCCATACATATTCTTTCAATGCGTCGCCCTTCTTGTGCTGCGAGCCCAGCATGAATGAGAAGGGGTTCTGGCCAGCCCCGCTTGTTGGCGGCTGGCTTGCATAGCACCGTCTTGGGCTGGGGTTAACTCGTATGGCAGCAGTGGTCCTCAGGACGATAGGCCGAGAAACGCGGAAAAGAGAGCGGGCTGTCGGACAGAGTACGCGATGCATGAAGGATAGTGTGTAGAGTGTTATGGGGACATTAAATGGTGGATGGCTGGACGAGAGAGTTCTGGAAAAGACGCGTCACATGCGCACATGATGTGACATTTTCCTGACTCGGTGACGTCACTTCTAGATACTCTCGAATCTCCATCATGTCGAACACAACAATGTCCCCTGAAGTTGGCCGCAAAGTGCGTTCTCCACGAAACCCGTCCTGATTTTCTCACACTCAACCCAGGCTGTCATGGACGAGCTTCTTGCGAGCGGCTTCGGTACTGCAGACTACGTGGCACAATTTGAAGAATATATGAAAGTGTACGATCCTCGCGCTGTGCCTGTCCTCTTGGGAGTCATCGCCAACATGGTCGAGATAGAAAAGCGGAATTTGCCACAACTGGTTGTGCGTGTCTAAACTCTACGACGTCTAACATCACCACTCACCGGTGTACCACCACTCTCCAGCACGATAGCCCTCCTGATGGGGTTGAGTTGTTTTACCACGACTTTCCGGAGAGCGACATTCGTCTTCTATATCATCAAATGCATTCCCTGACGATACCCTGCCCATGGCAATACTACGTCCGTGACAGCCAGTCCCAGCCCCTCCAAGACAAACCCATCGTCGAAGGATACGACCCTGATGAAGATGAATGGCACGTTGTGACCGTGTACGTTGCGCGGCCCGGCGATATCCTTCGCATCAACGGAAAATACACAATCCGGCTGCCCTTTGGTCCAGAGGAGCCTAACGGTGTGCTCCGACGGTTGTCCTCAGCTTAGTGGTATCTCTTGTTTCTCGGAGCTTTGACCATGCCACATTCTGTAAACAGTGGCACGACGCAATCAACTCCATACGCAACCCTTTCCCCTGTGCCACTCCCTGAGCTTGTTCGGAATTTAACGCTGGGATGGGTGGAGTCCGACTTGTGGAAGCCAGTACATTCTTGACTATTAATAATATCCCCGCCCTGTTTTGCCTCACGTTGAGACAGAGATAGGTGGTGGCAAAAAAGAGAGTTGACCATACCAGACACAGCTCTCCTCCGCAACGAAGCCAGATCCGACGTTTGCTCTCGCAATAAATCACACTGCTCAAATTTACGCCTTGGACCACGGGAATGCGATACAGTAATGCATGTCCATAATTTCGAAGTGCGTAAGTACAAACTCGTTGTCTTGTCGACTCATAGAGCTCAAGTCGTTCATGGAGTTTTATTTCCGTTGGAGGAAGGAGCCGCATCCGAAGCTTCCGCTAAATCCTCAAATGCGACCGATCTTCAACTGGTATCCTTGGTCGACAGTACGGGTTACAAGATCTTTTCCCAGGTTATGCTTGCAGCTGAGGCTGGTGCTGCATTAGATTCTGAACAGTTGTTGATGGTCAAGGAGGGTGCGCCGAACTTGAAGGAGACGTGCTGCGGGCCATGCAGATCAGTCACGTACTATTCGGTGTCAAGCCAGTCCGAGTCGGCGTCGGGTGGGAACTGCAATTTCGAGCATGGAAATGTCACTTGCGGCGATGCAGCTTGGGAAAGGCTGCGGATTCCTGTTGTCCTTGTTATCGCCTATTCCTGAATGCTTTACATAGGTCCTTTAGCACCGTGCCTCCAAGCAAACTCCAAAATGCTATCCTATCCAAGTAACCCGACTCAGATTACCAGGTTCAAGTTGATCATCTAAGTACTCTTATGGAACTTGAATTCAACTAGAACCTCGGTGAATTCTTGTCCCGTGCGTTGGCCAAGCGTTGGCTTCAAGACTTCTGCTATAACCTCCGCATTCGGTTGATAGCACGGATCTCTGTGGATCCTGATAGGCGTTCCTGATGCGGTCAAATCGTCCTGATTTACTCTATTTCGACGATGTTATCGCTTGCCCACGTTTATTTTCGCATCTTCCTCCACCGGTCTCGACACCTCTATTCCTCGGCTGTGAAACGATTTGGCCCTGAGGATCGACATACGTACTACTAGCCTTGGCAACCATATTTCAGTGCTCGACAGTTATGGAGAAACGGCTTTGACCTTTTCCCTCACATCCACAATGGAGCTCGACTCCACCGCCAACAAGACGAAGCCAAAGCGTATCCGTGCGCCGAAACCACGGAAACCTGCTCTCCGGAGAGGCAAAGCATGTCTCAATTGTCGGTATGTAGCCTTTCATCATCCGGTATCCCAATACTTACTGGCCTTCACAAGGCATCTGAAGATCGTACGTGCGGAAATACCCATCTCAAACTACGACTTACATACATATCTGTTGGCCAGAGGTGCGACGGGGTTGTGAGTTGTCTCCTGCACTCCCTTTGCACTATTCAAGTTGACGCAAACCCTATAGCATCCGATTTGCGGAAACTGCGTTCGTGTACCCAAGGACGAGCCATGTATCTTCATTCTCCCACTCTCAGCTCGTCGACGCTCCGCTGCGGCCTCTCTACCTATGGAACACCATAGTATCGATGCCTTGACGTTTTCGGGTTCTTCAGCCGGATACCCACTGGCACCATCGTCTCCCAGCTCGTCTCCTGAAAGCATTTTCCTCCTGCCCGTAACAGAGCACACCCCTGGCTCATCCCCTGCGCCATCAGGGAGCGACAGCAGCTCTTGCGGCGGTGAGCTTCCTTCGTCTGAATCTTGACTCGCGGTTCTTTGCTTACTCTAAGCTAGATGCTCTGTCGTATTTTTCTTGTCTGAGTGAATCGCGTAGTGAAGACCTTCAAGTTGAGCAACATCCAGAGACAATCGAGCTTTTGTGCGTCCTCTTCTATGTCTTTTCGTGACTCTATGACTATTAAGCCGCTAAGCGCTCTCTACCAGGCTTCAATTTTTCCTGCCCTCCGCAACCCAGCTCAATTTCTTCCTCCACATTGACCGCTTCGTGACCTCAGCGATCTGCCCAATCATTTCGGGCCTCGAGCTGCTCGGCGACCTTCTAGGACCAACTCCGCCCCTCTTATACGCCGTCTGCCTATGGGGTGCCCATCTCGCTGGCCCCAATCATCACCTCTTCTCGTTGAAGGCCGCGTTCCTCCGCCGCGCATTACGCTACCTCTCCGCGGAAATTTACGCCTCCGCCACCAGAGAGACAACCGATGTCATACAAACCATCCAGGCTCAGGTCCTCCTTGCGACATATTTTCTCGTCAACAAGCAGCTGTTGGCAGCGCACGTGCAAGCCGGGGGAGCGGCGACTCTGGCGATCGGGTATAAGCTCCATCTGCTGGGGTCGCCAAGGCGCTACGACCAGGACCTGTCGGAAGTGTCTATCCGGCATCCCCATGACGCCGTCGAGGAGGGCGAGTGGATTCGCGCCTTCTGGGCGGTTGTAAGGCTTCAAACGACATTGGAGCTCGTCGAAATCGCCTCGAATATGGTCGGCAGTCCGCACGTGAAAGCCGGTAGTATACACTGTTCGTCAAACATCCTCTCCTGCTTTGAGAACGAAATCGAGACGCCGTGGCCGGGGCATATGGACGACTATGACCTATTGCTGACCCCCCCGCTCGCTCAAAGTAATGGCGGCGAGTCTGCAATTTCGCGACTACTTTACGGCGAGCTCGACTATTGCTGCGACGGATCATCAGCAATGTACCCTGCTCAGGCAGCTGTGTTGTTCAGTCAAGCTTCTCGGATGGCACTCAACCCTACCGACCCTCTCTCCGACCTGCTTCTCACACGTATTTCTCTCTTTATGGACTCGCTCAGTGGGCTGGATGCAAACGAAGACTTGCTCAATGCCCACGCCCTCGCCGCTGCCGCTTCGATTATTCTCCGCCGACCCCAGGCTGGCTGTGGGCCCAACAGACAGCCAGCCCTGATCGATGCTGCAGGTACCATCCTCCATCTCCTTGGGAGGCCAGGACTGCATGGCATCGATGCAATCGCGCACGGGCTTACCAGCCCGACGACGAGCTCCCTGTGCTACTTCGCATGCAGTATTTTCTGTGACGAGATACATGCGTGGAAAACGCATTCAGTCCTGTTCGGCCTCGGGCAGCAAGGAGCTCCGGGTCCCGAGGCTATCCTGGGGCTGCAGTTGCAGGAAGGGATGAGGGTGTTGGGGACTTTCGTCGGGGGGAACCCGCTCGCTGAGCAGCAGCTGACGGAAATACAGGAGCGGTATTCGACCTTTTTCGGCGTGCTGTAACAGGCAAACTCAAACAGACATTTCCTTACCTAGCACGGTACATGGACGGGACTTTTAAATGCTCGCCACACTCGCTGTTGGTTGTAATTATCGCATCAAGTACACGGATGTTATGTAATATTCAAGTTCGCATTGTATGTTGTACTTAAGGTGGGGGCGTTTTGTTCCCATCGAGAATTTGGAATATATCCTGCTGCGCCGCAGCACCAAGTAGTGTATACACTCCGCCCGAGTCCCGTCATGATAATATAATAAATGACATCAAGATTGTGTGCACATGTATTCAGGAATTAGGATCATGTACTCAGTATTTGACCTAGCGAATAGATGTCGGAGCTCAATCAGAATCAAGGCCCTCCGAGTCATCATCTTCAAGACCTCGGCAATCCCAGGACTTCTGCACCAGTCCTGCCGGATAGCCCTTCGGCATGCGCACAGGCACATCAAGCTGTCGGTGGAGGTGCTCCAGGTCGCGCATGTCCTCGGGAGAAATACCATACGGCGGAAATTCGACCACAAACTGAGTGAGCTTCATTTCAACGTCAGCGAGCATTGCACCGGTGGCTCGCATGGCAACTCCGTCCAAGAATGGACGAATGTTGACGGGACCCGGGGTAGCGACAGGAACCACAAGTGTTAACGACTCGAGGTTAGGAAGTTTGTCAAAGTCGGCGAGGCCTGCAGCACAGCATTGTCCACCGTTGTCGTCCATAGGGAATAAGGTTACCGTCAGGTCTTTTACAGAAGCCAGTGCAGAAGACAACAGGTAAGTAAAGGCATTATAAGTGTTCGGTACCAGAGATAGAGAAACAACGCTCGCGGCAGAGCGGACAATGCATGGGTTGATGGCAGACTCAGCATCGCTGTAATCAAAATCCGATACATGCAGCGATGCGAGGGAGGGTAGGACGAGGTAGTACAAGACAACGGGGCTCTTGATGCCGAGGAGCCACAGGGCAGATAGGTGGGGCATGGTCAACAATGTTTTTGGCTCGTCGTCGAAAGCCAAAGCCAAATCGATTGTAAGTGACGACAGCGACAGCTCTTCCAAGGATATTAGATGAGGCAGAATGGACAGGATGTCGCGGTAGAAGGCCGGGCGAAGAATTGTGAGCTTTCGCAATTGGTGTGCGGGGAAAGCGAGGTCGAAAACTAAGTTTGGGATGCTTATCGCGAGCTCGCTGAGCTGGGGGGTGCTTTGCGAGTGGAACTTCGGGTGCTTATCTGGAGCAAGTATTTCAGCAGTCCAGCCATCGAGCGTCATCTGCGAAAGGAACGGAAGTTCCAGAGCAGCGATGGTGCCCAGTGCGTCGAGCGTCAAGATCGAAGGCTCTTCGGCAGACAAATCTACCTCTCCCCATCGGGAAGCAGAGGCGAAGATATGATCAGGAAACCACCAATGACCGAGAATCTCGCGATACTCATCACCACCTATAGTCGAGAATTCGATTGGCAGCCCTTGGGTGCGGGCAATGAAGTGCTCAAACAGCAGATCTCGCTTTTCGCCATTGATGCAGTAGCACGCGCGCGTCCACAGGCGGGGGTCTGCAAGCGCAACACTACGCCACCGTTGGCACACTGCGGTAATGTGCAACAATGTGTAATTGACCTGGCTCCGAGGAGAGGACGAGACGGCTGCCGCAAATATCCGGCAGAGGAGTTCGGCGGGAAGGGTGTTGACTGGGTACACGACGGTGGCGAGCGTTTGCTGGATCTCTTCTAGCTGGATTGTAAGCGTGCCTATCGTCTTGACGATCCGGGCTGCCTCTTCCCGGAGGCGGACGATTTCCGCGCTGCTGAGTGGAGGACTCGCATCTAAATCGCTGCCAGTGGGCGAGCGGCCGCGGGGGTGGCGAAAAAATGAAAGGAGGTCGGCGGCTGGGTTGTAGGGGTCTTCGTACATGAGAGCCAGGACGGACAGGCGCGATCGATGTTGATAGCCAAAAATAGGAAATGGAAGCTGAGCGCTAGCGTAAGGTTGTCGACTCGGAGGCAGTAGACTGAAATTACTAGTATTCAGAGAACTTGAAGCCAATTGCTATAGATTTTACGGCGAAGAGATCGATATATGGCTTGGGGTTCGAGGGGGGATTTGAGGGAGAGGTTGCTTGCTTGGTGCTGTTTAGCTTGGGAGCAAACAACAAGCATAGTGGGCGCTTAGCACCAAGTCATAGTCACGGTCGCGGTCACAGCATCACAAGCCTAGTAGTCACTCTTTTCTTCTCTCTCCGTCATGTTTGCCTGACTGTGAATGTCATTTTCCTTCTCTTCCAATTACAAGTCGAGCGACCTGCGAGCTACAGACGCCAGAGGAAGAAAAGAGCAAATTCGAGCCCCGACCCCTGGCCGCGCGTTTACCAAACGACGACGACGACTTTGATCACCTCAGGTCAGCGCTCCTGGCCATAGTTTCTGCTCCTGTCGTTTTTGCTGTCTGAGTCTCGCCCTCGCAGTGCCGTCTCTTTCAACTCCTCTCAGCGGCGGGATACTGCGGTTTACATCGTGAAGTCAGCCGAGAAACTTCAAATTGAAATCCAGACTGGAGGTACTAGACCAAACATAATGGCTGATGGAAGTTTGCCATCCGCGTGGCACTGGCTCATCTTGCTGCAGTGGTGCGTACACAAGGCCTTAAGTATATTCTTTTGCCAAAGAATGATAGACTCTCTCAACGCACGATTCTAAGCCCCGCATGATCATCGTAGATTCGTCGAACTAAAGACTGCCAGTGACACAGCTTTTCACTGGCAATACTGTGACGTGTACTGGAGTTGACGTCCATCGGGATCTCGTGGCTCTCAATCGACAATACCGGAGCCTGCATAGTGAGCTTTGTCATACTCGTACTTTATTATTGGGATTTCTGGTCCGCAAAGTCCACAACTGCGGTGCACTGTTGACTCATCTTTAGTCTCCCACTAGATACTCGAAGCAGCAACAATACACGAAACACTGGCAGCCTGTCTCCGACTCCGTCTTTCTCGGCGCGCGGGTGGCGCATCGGAAATCAGAGGGTGGTCCACTGGGGCAACGAAAGTGGCTAGAGATGTTGAAGAGTTGCAGTACTAGCTTCAATCAACTCACTCCGCTGCGAGACGCGGACCGTCGTATACGGCAACGAGAAATACCTCCGTTCCCGACGAGGCGGCCGGCCTATCGGAGTCCGTTCCCACGGAGGCTTGTCTTCGCTCAACTTGTCGACTGCTACAAATATCGGCCGAGCAGGCCGTACTCAGACGTGCGTCAGTCGCTAGGGGAGCTGGCTGATACATACTATTGGGCGCGATTTGGTAGTGAAGTCAAGTTCAAGAAACTGACTCCGCACCGGGCACCGCTTGCTTCCTTGACTTCGGGTAGACGGCGCCCCATAGTCAAGAGGCGAGGACTAGCTTCTTAAGCTGATGGACAGATAGGTCTAACTTACTTCGTGGAGGTTCAAGTTGGATTCGAAGAATCACTTGACTTAATATAGCGCTGGCAGCGGTAACTGAGCGCTTTCAATTTATCGGTGGATTCGTGAACAATCACAGACAATCACTTTTATCTAGGCATATAAACGCAACATAAAAACGTGGCCACATTGCCGAGGAGAAGGGCCGGAGGAACCGCCGGTTGTCTACGTCCATATCTTTGGCAGTTGACACATTCTCTCAATACGCTTTTAATCCGGCAAGCCGAGTTCGGATCACCATAGCGTGCAGTCGTCTGTTAGGATTCACAAACGGATTGCTAGCCTCCAAGCTCCACAAGTATGATACAATATGCATATGTACCTCTCAGCACCGTTATTAATGGTGATATTCCCGTCCCGAACCCATTGGAAACGTGCACTGGAAATTTGACCCCGCGTCATTGGTCCGTATGCACTCCTATGTACTCGAAGCCAAACATCGGACTTCAAGCGGCACGGGGTCATCGGCCGCGGCATGTGTGCGGATCTTGATGCTTGGCCCATTACTAGTACTTGTTGGTTGACTATAAACCCGATCATCTCGAGATGAAACCAAGGCCGGGAAAAGCAGAAGAAGTTGGGAAGCAGGTCTATTGCGCTGGGCTACAGCTTGAATCTGAGATTTTCACGAGACATTCATAACACTAGATAACAATCAGCATCATCATCGAAGTTTATGACTTCGTTGAATCGTTGCTCTGGTGGCTCGAATTAGATGTGGTACATACTTACCATTGGTAGACTAAAGACCGTTGCCGGGACTCACTGTTCTATTGGTTATACGGATCAAATTACACATGGCGTGTCGGATTTGCCGAAAGGATGGTTTACTGCCTCAAGTAAGTCTTCGTCACGGTCTTACAGGGATTCTATTGAGGGCAGAACGATGTAGCCTTGCGTTTTCTTCTCCTTCTTGCTGATCTTCCGACTATCAACACGAACTCGGAGGCTTCCAGACTTTTCAGACGGGCTTGTTCTCCGGGAAGAAGTGTTGGACCAGCCGTCTGGATGGGATTACGGCGTGCTTCAAAGAAGCCAGCCTTGCAACGACTTCATGGTCTTGATAGCCGAAGCGACCAAGAGCAGTTATCTGTTGCACCATCCCTCCGAGATACTCCCAAGATGAACAATTCCGAATCTCTCCCCGACTGTATATAGTGGTCGGAGGCAAGTCGGATACCTGGAACGAGAAAAAGAGATGGTGCAAAAACTCTTGTCAGCGCACGTGAAGAAGAAGCATTCTGTCGGCAACCGCTGATGTACTGATGGCGCGTAAGCATCACCGCATCGCCATCAAGGCCGCGGGAGCAGAAGATCACGTCTCCGGTGGGAAAGGCCAACGGCATCGGAGTGGAATTCATCCCACAACAGTCCGACGACGGACGTTCTAGCCATAGCTATTAATTCGCAGGCCGATCCTTGACGGTCGGCAAACAGATTCTGGGGGCAACGAGGTCGGAAACATTCAATGGTTGCGGGCGGGAGAAACGTCCTTGCGCCTGCGCGGAACCGCGTTTTTTTTTTTTGCAGGGTGTTCCATCAGGTCTTCTTCGTGCTTTTCAGATGGAATATTGGCGTAACCCTGGTTTTAAACGATGTAACCGCGAATGGACATGCCCAATTTTGTTGCGCTGCGTTCGTCTGATTTTCTTATTCGTTGGGCGGTGAGAGCGTGTGAGCGCGCCGTGCATAGACGCATAACACGCGAGCCCGTATATAAGCCCGGCAGGGGTTCAAGCGAGGATTTGATTCAGGTCGCACCTTCTCAGCCACCTTCCCCCTCCCTCCCCTCTCAATTCTCTCAAATGGCCACCTCTGAAATTGTGCGTCGCAACTCCCGCTGCTCAGGCTGCGCGCTGAGCCTTTCTTGACCTAGCCCGAGCACTCTGACATTCTCGTCATCGGTGGAGGACCAGCTGGATCTTATGCCGCCGCTGCGCTGGCTCGTGGTGCGTACCCGTTTTTCCCTGCTCGTCTAACGCTAAACAGTTCATAGAGGGCTACGAGGTCACACTGCTGGAGAAAGACCACTTCCCGCGGTACCACATTGGCGAGAGCATGCTGCCCTCGTGCCGGCCATTCATGCGCTTCATCGACGTGGAGCAAAAAGTTGTGGACTTCGGTTTCCTCGTCAAGGTGATTCCCCCATGTCGATGTCAAGACGCCCACACTGATTCCTGATTAGGTTGGTGCCGCATTCAAGTTCAATCACAACAAACGCGAAGGCTGTGAGTTCCTTCCCCGTCCGCACCCGGACTCGAGTAACGGCAAGTGCAGACACCGACTTCATCAATCCGAACCCCAACAACGCCGCGTGGAACGTTGTGAGTACTATAGTTCTTGATAGCGATGCATCTCTGACGCGTTCCAGACACGGGCTGATTTCGACGAGCTCCTTCTTCGCAACGCCGCCCAGCAAGGTGCCCGTGTAGTCGAGGGGGTCACCGTCGGCGCAATTAAGTTTGCGGACCCCGACGTCGAGCCCACAAAGCTTCAGCCCGTGTCGCTGGAATGGAAGACCGACAAGGGCACCACCGGCGAAACCAAGTTTAAGTACCTGGTTGACGCCTCGGGCCGAAACGGATTGATGTCGACGCGCTATCTGAAGAACCGCAACTTCAACAAGGCGCTGCGGAGCGTGGCTTATTGGGGATACTGGACGGGTCAGGACATGTATGCGCCAGGAACGAGTCGGGAGAATGCGACTTGGTTGGAGGCGTTGACGGGTATGTCGTCCATTTGTCTGGACTTGCCTCCTCTGACCCCCCGATTAGACGAGAGTGGCTGGGTGTGGTTCATTCCGCTGACCGGCAAAGTCTCCGTTGGCATCGTCATGAAGGAAGAAATTGCGAAGGAGAAGAAGAAGGCATTCACTGGCCCCAACGCCATGCTGGACTTCTACCACAGCCAGCTCCAGTTCGTGCCGGGTGTTACCAAGCTCCTCAAACCCGCGACATTCCAAGGCGAAGTCATGACTGCCGGAGACTACAGTTACTCCGCACCCGTCCACGCCGGCCCGAACTACCGCATCGCTGGCGACGCTGGCGCTTTCGTGAGTTTTACTGCTCTGCTTCTGTTCTTGAGATCTCATCATGCCTTCGAAAGATTGACCCATACTTCTCATCCGGCGTTCATCTCGCTTTCAACGGTGGTCTTACAGCAGCTGCCACGATTGGTGCTTCGATTCGGGGCGACTGCACCGAGGAAGAGGCTGCCAAATTCCACACAGCGAAAGTCGGCGCCTCCTACACCCGGTTAGTGTCCCTTTCCTTCCCGTTATTCTGCATCTTTACCTTGGGGACAGATTCATGATGGTCGTCCTGGCCGCCTACCGCCAGATCTTGCACCAGAGCGCGTCTGTTCTGACGGATGTCGAAGAGGACAACTATGACCGGGCCTTCTCTTTCATTCGACCTGGTATGTGGCAATCGAAGTTCGTTCATGCCTCTGCTGACGGGAACCAGTCATCCAAGGCATGGCCGACACCAACAAAGGTGTAACAGAGGACATGCTGCAGTCGACCATGGACTTCTGCGAGCACGCAATGGGCATGACCGATCCAGAAATGCATGCCGAGGTCGCCAAACGTGTTGACCCGAAACTTCTCGAGCATGAGGGTCCCCCTCATGAGCGTAGAGGAGATCAAGAAAATTGCAGGCGACGACGAGGAGATGGAGGTCGTATTAAGACGTGTCCAGGCTCGCAAGACATTGGAGGCGCTGCATTGGCAGCCGAACTTCCGTGGCGAATTCTTTGAGGGGCTTGGCATTCGTCTCGAGCGAGGAAAGTTGGGCCTGAAGCGTGAAGAGGGCCAGTAGATTATATGTTGTTGTGTTAGTTTGTAGAGTATCGCAGATATATAGAAATGCGTTGTGCACTAGTATGTGGTTGATTGATTCGAAAGAACGGGTTGTGACATTTCCGAGTCTGTTCTGCGCTCTCATCCAGGTTTTTGCAACTATTAAAAACGCTGTCATTCGTCGTTGGTTTCCGTCATAGGGCTTCAAGATGGGGCCCGAAGAGCTAATCGTAGCCTTTCCATTACTGTGCTGTGCTTATTGTCAGTGTCTCCTCTTGCTGTTCGAAGCCAAAGTCATCCTCCCTCTAGATGCCATACACAACGCTTCGAAAACCCTTTCCCTCATCACGCTCTCAGCATTCAGCCATTGATGTACCAATGCAATCTCTGCCACCGTTGCTCGTAACCTCGAACTGCCTTCATTCGGGGACCACTGTCAAATTCGCCGCTCTCTCTGAAGACTGGGAATAAATAAGGCGAGTCTCACTGTATCCTCCACGACCATTCCCTTTGCTAACTTCTCGAAGCCGCCCCTTTTCCAAATATGCATGTCTTGAATCATGAGGACTGCTGCACGTTGGTCTCAAGTTCTGTCATCGATGTGCGTCACCATCTTTTCCGAGCTGCCCTGATTTGAGCCCACCCTCTTAGGACGCCATACCCGATGCTTTTAACCTACTCCTCCCATCGCACCCCCAGCATCCACTCATCGATTCAACACGGTCTCCGCTACCGCTGCCAATAACCTTAAACTCTTATTCTTGTCATTTTGTGGAATGTTTGGTCGTCGAACCTGGTCATTCGGTGAAGTACTATAAACGGAGTACATCGGGAGCCAGACTACAAACCAGGACAAGGTGCGCCTTGTGTCGATTCAACCTCACTATCTTACCTCCAGAAGTGCCGTTTTCTCGACAGCCCGATGAGTGGGAATGCATTTGTGTCTACTTCGTGCGCGTTTTCCCTCTAGCTTGCCTGTGCCAGTGTTGCCCTCATTCACAATCTTTTTGTTAGTCTCAAATTCAATACGGTTAACAACTCAGCTGTGTTAAGCGCTGTTACAATGGTCACCCACTATACCGAATGTTTTCGCCCGCAAAATCGAAGGAGAATATGTGTAACAGTTTGGGCAGGTGAGCAAGAACTACTTGGGTCAAGTCCACGTCAAAACTAACACTGAAAAAGAGATGACAATCAAACCGGAAAGGATCGTAGGCCGATAGCAAAAGTGGTATCATTGGTCTCAGTCTCTCTCTCTTGATATTATATTGATACTCGTCCAGCCAGATTCTTCATTGAACCCCCCTCCACCCCAAAAGCGGGCATCGTTACCTTACATCCTACACCACTCGATTCACCCTTTTTAACCATTATTGAATTATCTCTGTCTGCCTTCCTCCTACCACACGATCCACCTCGTTCTTACATTACTTCCTGGACTTCATAACTTTGTTTACGATGACTTGATACGGCAGGCCACTTCCCATATTTAGTCCCCATTCTCGAAAACTTCATCTACCACGATTCTAATTGCTTTCTATCGACATCATCCTTCGCTCTCTCTAACGAATCCGCGCTCAACAATCCCTCTAGGTCTACTACATGACCCTGTTGACTGGACCTTTCGCACAAGGCGGATGTCCATAACAGCCTCGCCTCATCAAGCCGTTTCTCACTGAGTGCGATATGGCCCAGGTCAATCATGCACTCCGCCCGTCCACGATGTACGTCCATTTGCGTGAATCCCTCCAATGCGAGTCTGAACAATGTACGAGCAGCGCTTAATTCGCCCCACAGGAAGTTTTCCTTGGCCATGAACTGAAATGCCTTATGTATGGCTAGTCGCTGCTTGACCTTGACGGAATACGCAAGGAATATCGTTGGCCAGCTGGATACATGGGGCTTTTGCTGCTTATATGCAAGTCTTGCGAGACATATCAGCGTCGGCTAGGGAGCCGTTCCGCATGCATGCGACCTACAACGCCTTCGCCTTCACAATGTCTCCACGATGCTCTTCGACCTCCGCCTCGAAGAGCTCGCAAAAGTTCAAATGGCGGAGACTGGCGACAAAAAGTCCTTGAGGCTGTTACGCGATTCCATAGGCTCCCATATCGTCTCGACATTGTCGAGGACCAAAAGCATCGGGGCAGTCCCGAAGTATCGCGCCAATTGCTGCACGATGTCTGTGGTTGGCTGCATATCGACATAGGAACCAACGAGGACGGCCAATTCCTGCGCTGTCTGCGTGCCGCTTCGCAACTGACGAACAATCGCCGTCCTGGACCGTATTTGCGTTCGACATCCGGATTGTGGAGAACTTCTCGCGCGAGACTTGTCTTACCCATGCCTCCTGCCCCGAGGATTGCAATATGCGGAGCTCCGGATTCAAATAGCGCAAGAATATGAGACCGCTCCTCGTCTCGGCCGTGGACAATCTTTGGACGGGAAGGCAACAAGGAGAAGGTAACTATGTGGGCATGGGCTGGGCGTACTTAATTGTTATTGAAGCACGGACCTTTCCGTGTGTGTCCATGTCTCCTGTCCACGTTTATGATACTGTGCATGATATAGTGAAAGTTGACGACTCACCAATGAGCCAGCCATGGAATCCCCATCAGACACTGATCGTTCTTCCCACCTCAGTATATCTTGCTTCGAGCTTCATCTTCAAGTTGCTGAAGCTGCGCATCGAAATTGAATACACGCAGCTGTTCATTACAGTCCTCGCTGAAACACCATATTGGACGCGAAAACCGACCTGGAAAACTTTGACCGCCTGATCCAATCCCGCCTCACACTCTTTTTGCGATTATGTGTGTGCATGCCAATTACAAGAGAGCTTGGACGGCTTTGGACTGAGGGGGAGGATTATCGGATAGTACAGCTTGGTTGGCTGTCGAAAATGGATTGACTTCGGGTGGGGTGACTATGGGTTCAAGGTACAAGATGACAAGATGAGAGCTGTGTTACAGTATAATACTTGTATGCTGGAGTCCAACTTGAAAGCGATGCGATGCAGACATAAGGATGTAGAAGAGGCGCGGCGTCTACCGGTTCTGGAGGCAGGATAAGAATGCATGGAGAGGCGGCAACGGCAACAAGTAGACTCACGGGCAGGACAACATTCGCTTGCGGCGGGTATGATGATCCAGCGCCGCCAGTTTGTGAGCTTCCTGCTGATAGCGACAACGACGGCGCGGGGGACGAAGCGGAGGGCACGACGATGTCGTATGGGTTGAACGACACTCTGCGCGGTGTGTGGGAGAAGGCGGACGATGTCGGGGTCGGGGCGGGGCTCGGGTCGCTGGGCACTATCGGGGCGGGAGCGCGCTGTGGGGCCGGCGTTGCGAGGTAGCGATATGGCTCGTACTTCGGCTCAGCTTGCCCGCCTGGTCCCGTCGTTGTGGTGGGCAGTGGCGCGAACCGGCCGCGGGCCCGGGCGGCGCGCCGGCGGGAGAGGCAGTGCGAGAGCCCGTAGAACGCCGCGGCGCCGAGCGCGAGCAGCAGCAGCAGGCCTAAGAGAGTAAAGGGAGTCAGGGAAAGCGGGGAAGAGAAGGGAGAAGGACGCACCACCGACGACGATCCCTGCTTTTGCGAAGCCCGGCGAGGTGGTGTCCGCTATGTGTCCCCCGTCGCTTGTCGTTTGGCCCCAGGCCGCGGAGACGAGCGCTAGCGCCGACGTGGCGAGGACGATGCCCCAGGGCATGGTTCTATTGGAGCTGTGGTGGCGGAAGGGAAGAAGGAAGGCGGAAAGGAAGACTCCGAACGGGCCAGCCGAGCCCGGGCACTGTGGACCCTGCATGTGGCATGTGTGTGTGGGTAAATCTGCGAATCCATCACGCACGAAAATAGCGCTGCGCACCCGCGGGGTTTTTGCGGATCGACGTGGCAGGAAAAGCCCAGCAGTGATGAGGTCACATAATTTCAAGCCAAGTTTAAGTTATGAATCTATCAGATATGTGATTTGAAGATGCTAGGGATCCTAGTAACCACGCTATATCCCTTGCTTCCCCCCCTCATCTTGACTGTGACTGAAAGGACCTCAGCGCTTGCTGGGTTGACTGTCAGTAATATGAGTCTGACTCTGCATGGTATTTGGTCTTGCATCCCTGAAAAGCAGAGCCTCATGAATGTTTCTTTCAGGTGGCAGAGGTGGAAGGGGTGGATCTGCAATGGGAACTGGAGGTAATGGTGGTATTGGAAAAGCTCCAATAGTACCAATCATTACCAATAGTGTCACAATCCATCAGTATGTCCTACCCTCCTTAGGAGTATTCTTAACTTATTTCTGTTAGATCTTGAGCCCGGCTCATTCACAGTATAGTGAGTCTAAACTTGAAAGTATCTATATCTCCTATTTGACTGGTGATGCTGTCAGATATAGATATCTCTCCCCATCTGGGATGCCCTCCACCTTGTGAATTATTTACTGGCTGTGAAGAAATTTTGGCACAACTGCAGATTTCTTTCAGGACAACAGTAGAGGAGGACGTCACATTGTTCTTCTCCATGGCCTAGGGGGAACTGGCAAGACAGAAATAGCTCTCAGATTTGTAAGTATTTCTGGGGATAGGTATGTTACATCTAACAATGATTGGTTTCTGCTGACTATAAATAGAAAAGATTTACAGATCAGTTTAAAGTTGATGCCAGTGATCCAGCCACAATTCAAGCAAGTTATATAGATATTGTTAGATGCAAGAATCTTGAATTATCAATGGTTGCAGCACATGGCTTTTTAACAGGCTTATTAACAGCAAAAGTGAATGGGTTATTCTTTTTGACAATGCAGACAATGTGGAAATTAATCTCAGAGATTATATTCCCCAGTGTTCCCATGGCAATATTCTAATAACATCACGTAATCCAGAAGTTGGAATCCATGTACAGAACTCAATCAAAGTGATAGATTTGAGTACAGGTGAAGCTATCAATCTACTATCAGATATTGCTCAGATCAATGACCAATCAGCGGCTGAAAAAATTGTGAAAGTAAGTGACCAGACACAAGAAAAATAT